TTTTTTTTTTTTTTTCTTCAATATCAATTAGATGTGTCCAATGGACATGAATAAAATTGATAAACTCGAAGTGTACTTCTCTCAAGTAGTAGCTAAGGACTAACCAGTTTTTAGTAGTATATCCAGTTCTGACGAAACAGTACTAACACCTCGTGTAAAGATAATCTCAATCGTCAATTATTTTTGTATAGAAAATTTGCAACGTAGCATTGATAGATTTTTTTTCTACACGTTTTGTATTATCGACGATAATCAGGGGTGGATAAATTTAAACACGTATCAGATTTGTATAATTTCTGAAAATAAAACAGGCTTTTTAATAAATCTGTTAATTCATTTTTATTCCTTTACTGTATTTAATGTATTCAATTTTTATCAAGAGTTTGTTGTGATCGTTCGTCTCCATGGTTGAATCGATCCTCGCGCATGTGTGCTTCCGTTGGAGTTGCACAGTGAAACTAAAGCAAGCAAAAATAACAGAGAATAGGAAAATAATTTTAAATGTGATATAAATTGAAAAAAAAAATGCAAGATGACTCTGCCACTGTCGAGAATCGATTACACGGCTGTAGGCGTCACGTCTAAAGGAACCACCAAGATATTCCCAGCGACGGAACACAGGCAGACTCAGAAGTTCGCCGTTGCTGACCACGACGGTATTCTCCACGTCTATGGCAAGTTTCAAAATTGAAATCAAATTTACAAACAATTTCCATAAAGGTTATTTATGTACTTTTTTAAGGTATCAAAAAGGGAGAGCTGCAGGTGTCGTTCAAGTCTCTGCCTGGACCAAGGATTAACAAATTAGTCCTCGCAGGCAGTGGACGAGATAAAATTTATATCGCTCAAGGAAATACCGTCCGTGGCTTTACTAAAAAAGGAAAACTGTTTCTCGAGTTTGACACCAATCTCATAGATCCCATTTCATCCTTGTATGTAAATCTTAAAGATTTAAATTAAATCATTTTAATTATGGAAGTAAGAGAACGAGTTTTCTTGTAGACACGTGCTGGGTCCTGATTTGGCAGCGTGCGCTAGAGATCTGTATCACAGGTATCATGATTGCAAGGATGCTGACTCGTATCTGGCAGGCGAGATCTTAAACGACGTCGTCCTTCTGCCTACTGACAGCAATTTCGTATTTGCTATACTCGCCTGCGGCGATTGTGCTGTAAGAATCTTATCAGATGCATTTTTTATCTATAGAATCATTTGTAAAATTTCATTATTTTAGATTCGAGTCCTGCATGGCACCAAGAGTCCTGCGGTCCTCAGGCTTCCAAGCGTTCCCACAGTATTATCTTTACAAAGGTTCACAATTTCTCACAATTATTTCAAATATCTTGTTCCTACGTTAGAAGAGTTACTTTCATTTTTTTTTACAGAGATGGTGACGTAGACTCGAAAGAACGTGTCCTTGTTGGAACGGTGGATGGCAAAGTGGGTTTACTGATCCTACAGGGTACTAAAACTCTGAGGATCACTTGGTTGTTGAATACAACGGGACCGGAAATCACTTCTCTGGATACGTATAAGTTGCAAGATGGTTTGGATATTCTTATTGGTCGGCAGGACGGTGCTGTTGAGGTGTACACTTTCCCTGAAGAAGACATGGTTCCCTTGCTACGTTATCGTCATGTATGAGTCGTATTCTTCATTTTTTAACTCCCACGATTTCATATGTATTAATTTGTAGAATGCGAACGAGAGCGTGACTTCAGTGATGGGAGGAGTGGTCGGTGCTGCGGGATATCCAGAAGTCCTGGTCACGACTTATTCCGGAAGAATATTCGGTTTGACTACCAGACCTCCAGGGCTGCTAGAGATCGAACAGAACGACGGCTTGGCGAAGCTAAGAACGGAGATACAGCAATTACAAGAGAAACTTAACGAGGAGAAAGAAACGGGCATCGCGACTGACTCTCTGGCACCGTTAATTCTTTCGGTGAACCACAGGTACCAAACTCAGTTTATCCTATTTTGTATGTTAATCAATGAAGGATAATTGCAGGATGGTTTTGAAAACGGAAGACGCGTCGTATTCCCTTTCGGTGGAGCTTGATACGCCGATTGATAACATTTTGATTCAATCAGACACGCCGATTCAGTTATTGGATGTGGAGAGTAATAGTGCGGTGGTCAGTTTGTCAGCTTGCAACCCCAAAGAAGGAAACTTCGTCCTCGCTACCTATCGTTGCCAAGTAAATATTAATTAAGGATGTATTGGCTATAAAGTCAATCCCAAACGTTTATGCACTTTAGAAACGCATTTTTTTAAAATAAATCAGACGTCGGAAGAACATTGCTAATAATAAACAACAAAAAAAATTTTCGATTTTTCCGAGATTTTTCCAACGGGTACCCCTTCAATTTCTTTCAAATTATCGTTTTTCCTCAATAACTCCCGACCGGATGGACGTAGGGGGGCGTTTAGGGGGCTCTTCTTGTAGAGGACAACCTGATCAACAAGAAAGCCTAAATACGCCCCCCTACGACCATCCGTTCGGGAGTTATTGACGAAAATGGAAAAGTATTGTCCAAAGTTCGCTGCATTCGACGGTGAAATGGTCGAGTTTCCCTCAGATTGTGTGAAATTTCGTTTTTCCTCAATAACTCCTAAACCTTTGGAGATACGGCAAAATTGCATACCACCTTATTTGTAGATCAGATCGTCCTCTATAAGAAAAGCACCCTAACGACCACCCTACGTCCATCCGTTCGGGAGTTATTGAGGAAAAACGAAAAGTCTTTTTAAAAGTTCGCTGAATTCGACGGGCGAATTTCGCGAATGCCAATAAAATGCCAATAACTCGTGAAATATTGCAGTTGGAAGCAAAAGAACTTTTGGTTAAAGCATTCTGATGACTAATACGTGTATTTCGCGAAAAAAAACAATTCTTTTTTTTTGACATTTTTCCAAAGGGGTTAGCCTTCAGATTTTCGCGATTTTCGTTTTTCCTCAATAACTCCCGAACGGATGGACGTAGGGGGGTCGTTAGGGTGCCTTTCTTGTAGAGGACGATCTGATCTACAAGAAAGGTCCTATGCACTTTTCGCGTATCTGCAAGGGTTTAGGAGTTATTGAGGAAAAACGAAATTTCACAAAATCTGAAGGAAATTCGACCATTTCACCGTCGAATTCAGCGAACTTTAGACAATACTTTTCCTTTTTCGCCAATAACTCCCGAACGGATGGACGTAGGAGGACGTATTTAGGCTCATTTTGTAGGGGACGACGAGATCTACAATTTCTGCGTAAAAAGAATTCGCTAGTGCCAATAGTTCACGAGTTATTTCCAAAAAACTGTTTTTCTGTTTTTTGCCAATAACTTCCAAACGGATGGACGTATTGGGGCGTTTATAGGCTCATTTTGTAGGGGACGACGAGATATACAATTTCTGTGCAAAAAGAATTCGCTAGTGTCAATGGTTAACGAGTTATAGACGAAAAACGAAAAACGGTTTTTTGCAATTTACTCGTAAACTATTGACGCTAGCGCAAAATTATTAGATAGAAATTGTAGATCTCGTCGTCCCCTACAAAATGAGCCTAAATACGTCCTCCTACGTCCATCCGTTCGGGAGTTATTGACGAAAATGGAAAAGTATTGTCCAAAGTTCGCTGCATTCGACGGTAGAATGGTCGGATTTTGTCAACATCAATAAAATGCCAAATAATCATATGTAACTGATTAAATATCGAAGTTAGAAGAAAAATGTAAACTTTTTTCATCCAAAGTAATTGTTCTTTCTTTAATAATTTTATAGGTGAATACTAATCATCTAGAGATGAGGCTGAGGACCATCGAGGGACAGCCTGGCACTTTGCAAATTTATGTCACATCGCAAGTACGTCAGTAACATTCGTAATCAAACATTTTTGTATCATAATTTCAATCCTATTTAGGTGCAACCGAAGTGCTGTCGTAAGATTCAAATACCCATTTGCTCCCTTTCGCTTCACGTGAGGCAGCATCAGGAGGAAAACGCGGAGGGACCAAACGGAGGCCCGTTCAACGAATTGAGACTAGTTGGCAGTTTTACGACTGCGGAGGTGATTTGTTCAACTTCAAGTTCTTGACGATTGCTAATCAATTTTTGTTTTAGATGCATGCCTGGCTGTCTCTTGTATTACCCGACGTCCCCGAAAGACCTCACCTTGAAGAAGGGGAAGCTACACTGACGTATGTTTCTGCTTTCATCGGTACTCTACTTAAATGCAAATACAAGTAAGTCGGTCCCCTCCGCTCGCGAATTTTCTCCTAATTTTTAGGACGGGTTTACGTTTGTTTTCAGAAAAGGCAGTGCGACATTTCTTGGGGAGAACATATCCAGTATTATAATCCTTAGGGACGTGTTGACCAGAGAAGCAACGAAGAGAAAAATCAAATTAGACGTCTTTTGTGGTACGATTATTCTCCTGTTTAATATATTTTTTTCTAAGATTTCTTTTTCTATTCGTCGCGCCTCTGCAGACGTCGTCGAAGGTAGTCTAACCAGAGTGCTAGAATTAATTCTACCGCGGCTGAACGCTGTTCACGGTTTGATCACGAAAATAAAAATTCTGAACGCCCTCGAGGAATGGGAGTTAAAAGAAAATCCGAAAGAAAACTTGTGCAGTGAATATCAGGAATTGGTACAAAATGAGGGAGAGACTAAATCGCAAATGGCGAGGGATAATGAATTATTGGAAAGGCTCCACGCGATGATCGTGGATCTCTACGTTGACTGGGAGAGGGCCAAACGTTCCCGAAGGTGCGTATAAACAGATAATCCTCGTTTGGAAAAATTGTTAACGTATTGCTTTATTTAGGATCAGCAGCAAAGAGGCTGCGGGTAAACTCAGTGCGGCTCTCGAATCTAGAGATCTGTCCCAACTGTTGCACGTGTTCGTCGATTCTGATGACGTGACTCCCTTACCTTCGGTGCCTTCAATCATTATTTAGATACAAACTTATTTTTGTATGAAATGAGAGTGGACCACAACGTTTTTATAAATGTCTTCACGTAAAAAATATATTTTTTTCGACAACTCGCGATATAAACTACTAAGTTAATTTAAACTTAGAAATGTACAAGTAGCATCAAGGATAGTTATATAGTACAATATATACGTATGCATAACTTTTTTACGTGCTTGAGTGTATAAGTATATGCAGTCGCCTGTGCATCGATATATACACGATTAAATGTAACTTCTCCGTGGGAGTTAACGCCCACGTGTTTCTTGTACTCATCCAGGTTTCCCGCTGAAAACAGTCTTAAGTATAACATTTTCAAGTCGTAATTCATTTCAAAGTTGCAACGTTCATATAAAAAGTGGCTAGCGGAGAAACCGGAAAGTACAGTGCGTTGATGCGTGTAACATGCTTAGTAAGATCGAGTTGTCCGCTGGCTGGCACCTTTGTGCGACGGACGTCTTAGAACAGCGTCTCCTTACATGAAGAAATATTGCCTGGAAGCACACAAATCGAATTCCTTATTTCATTTCTAATTTATTTGAAATATTACTTAGAAAAGAATGAAACTAACATATTATCCGCGGTGCGCACGACAGCTTCGAGAGGGTCCCTGTCGTTGCCCGCGTCCGTTGTTGCCGTAACGTTGTATTCCAGATCCTGTCCGTCGGTATGTGGCAAAATGCTCTCGGGATTATCGTCTGGCGGGACGATCTCCACGACTCCCGACGGTTCAACTTCGAGTTTCAAGTCCCGGACGAGATCCTGAATGGTCTTCGCTTGAGATCTCTCCTTTCTCATCTCCTCGTCTTCCTCCTCTAGATTCTTGCTCGTCGGAGCTCTCGCGGACCTCTCTCGGACGGTGGTCCTGGAGTGCGTGTGCATGTGCCTTTTCATGTCGCTGCGCACTCGGAACGGCTTCCCACATACGGAGCAAGCGTGAGGCTTCTCTCCCGTGTGAATACGCCGGTGATTCTGTAGATAGCTACTGGCTCTGAACGTTTTGTTACAGTACTCGCAACGATAATTCTTCTCGCCGGTGTGTATTCGCCTGTGAACGATCAGCGAGTACTTCCGAGCGAAGTCTTTACCGCAGTACTCGCATTGGTACTGTTTCTGTTCCGAATGAATGCTAGTAGAGTGATACTTCAGGTCTCCCCACTGGCGAAAGTGTCTGCCGCAGTCCTCGCATTTATACGGCTTGTCGCCACTGTGGAGACGCTTGTGCACCTATTAAAGAAATCATTGGAGTCCCGATATTAAGCATGAAATAAATAGATTGTTTTACCTTTAACGCGCTGGCAGCGAAGAAACTTTTTCCACAGACTTCGCACTGGTGAGGCCGTTCCCCGCTGTGAGATCTCATGTGGTATACTAAACTATTCTTATGGTGGAACGACCGATCGCATTGGGGACACGCTAACTCGTCATCTACATAAATTAAAAGGATGATTGATGACTGTTCGCCGCGAAGAGGATTTCCGATATTGAATTACTAACTTGACTTTCTTGCTTTCGCTTTCTTTTTCTTCGTTGTCTGTGGAATGTCAGTCTTTCCCTTGTCGAGGATGGCCTGATCTATGGTAGATGGCTTTATTTGATCCCTATGTACATTGCCGGTGACATCGGCGATCGCCCACAACGAGTTATCGTTGTTCACCACGGATAACGACGACTCCGTCTCATCGTCTATGTGAGCACCTGTTTCCTCAACTGCAAACAAAGAATTGAAAACTTCCCTCGAGTGTTGGGAGTTCGAATCGCTTACCAACGCCTCTGATGCCTTCCATCAGATCCTCGGGCTCACTGAACTCTTCGATCACCGAGTTCTCGAGGTTCTGCACCGATTCCGCGACCGATATCGTGATGTTCGTGTTCGTCGCCTGCGCTATTCTCGTCTCTTGCTTCACGGGCTCGTAATGCGCCTTCAAATGCTCGAAGAACTTCAATTGGCTACTAAATCTGGAGCTACATAATTCGCACTTAAACACGTGTGATTGCACGTCGCCAGAGTTATCCGCATTCGCGTTATCCGCGCTCGCTTTTCCATCCTTCCTCGACGAGTTCTTCTTCGTCTGCTGTTTCAGTTTTCTAGGAATCCGCTTCTTGTGCGGCAGAGATCTCTTCGGCCCGGAGCTCGGCGTCGCGTCCTCGCTGCTCTCAGCCGACACATCGACGTCGTACTCACTCTTCACGTTTATGAACTCCTGCTTCACACCATGCGTGATTCGCTTGAAGGGTTGAAGGGTGGGATACACGGGAGGGCCTGGGGGTGGCACAGTTTCAATCGTGTACGTGTTTACAGGGGATAACGTTTCTAAATGAGACACGTCCGGCAACGTAGGATCCTGGCTCTGGTTGTGGAGTTGCTGCTGCTTTTGCTGCTGCTGCAGCTGAACGGCTACCAGAGCTGCCGCCAGTCTTCGATCTTCCTGTTGACAATCCAAAATCAGTTTCTTCGTCTCAGTAAAAAGTAGAAAGGCAGTACCTCTGTTAACTCATGAGGCAACAGATCGTCCTCCTCGTAGTACTGGCTAGCTGTGCCGTAGTCCGATGACACGCCAGCATTTATCATGTCAACGACCATTCCCTCGGAGATAAGTTCTCCGTTTAGAGTCAGAAGCGGCACGCTTTTACTCAGCGTCTCCCCGTCTGTCCTTTGGATGGTGATGTACTGCGTACCCTCCATTCCTTCCAGCAGCACCGCTTGTGCCTCCTCTGTTGTTACTTCCATGATCACTTCGCTCAGTTGCTGATGGGTGAGAATTGAGTCTACGATTCTGCCCTTGCCATCTATAAGGACTAGCTCTCTGGGTTCAGAGAAATTAATTATTTATTGATGCAGCAAACATTTAACTTCGAGAAGAGGAAAATGATTTCGTTTTGCTTCAGTCAATCGTAAAACATATGCGTGACAATATTTCATGACCACGATTTTTGCATAGACTTCAGCTAGTTTATCGGGCCGATGTCTGCGTTAGAATCGGCTTAAATTTCGCGCCAGTGGACATGATAGAAATGACAGCGGAATCAAGGTCACTGCACCCGGAGGTCTCAGAAAATTTCTGTGCTCGCTTGATCCCCGTTCAATCGTTAAAACCGATCTCCTCTCACCTCTCTGTACCAACCTTCGCAAGCTCGCGTGGTTCTCTCGTCTCCTTCCTCGAAAACTTGACCGACATAAACAAAGCAAAATATTGAAACACTGTAGGACAAAATGTGACAACAGTGCTTGGCTCCCGACGCCATTAGAGCGGATGCTCCCTTCCCTTCTACCTCACCCACGCAAATATTGCACTAACACCAACGTCGACGAATGAAAACCACTATTTCATGTCCTCTCAACAGCGATCGAGCAACCTACTTCGAAGTTGAAGATCTTCAACCTTAGCCGCGAACGTTTTTCCTTTCTTTTCGATCTTAATATAGACATTTGCCCAGAGTAATCGTACTCCTGCATCCTCCTTGCTATTTAAAGCAGATAACACGGATGAACTCGGTCCAACTCGGCCGTCCCGTGACTTGATAAAAGACGGTCAACTCATCAAAAGTTCTATTATTTCTGGGGTTGTTCAAACACGGTCGATAAACGCCACAATAACATTCGTAATCATTTAGATAGCTCCCATCAGAATTTCCTGATTAAACAACAAGTCTACGAGAGTCGAACGAGCGTCCCTTGAAAGGACGCGAGGTCCTCGACCGAATCCGTCGTCCTTGTACAAAATGCTTGTATATGCTTTTATGTCTTATTAGTTAAAATCTGACTGATCGGTAATTGGGGTAATTTTATCAACGAATGTAGATGAAGTGAAATTGATATTCATGCGATATAAAGCGGATCGCGTAACTCGGGGCGAGGGGGCTTCCGGAGGCAGCTTTCCCTCCTTCATGCTGTCACTGTCAGCTGACCACCTCGACTTCGTCGTTGATTCATCGTGTTTGACAAGGTTGTTATGACTCTTTAAACGCTCCGATTTACCAGGCTCACGCGATTCCACCGATCGTGTCTGGCCTGAGCACCGCGGACAGTCCCCGAGTTCTCCGAGGACGGTATCTCTCGCGCTCGATGAAAGCGGCCGATTTCGTCGTAGCGCATAAGTACGTTCAATTTTTCTACGCAGTGTCGGTCGGTCCGGTTCTTTGTAACCTAAATTCGTTCGTGGTATGATAGTACCGGGAGTTTGTAACGGAGCATGGTTTTGTGATTGTCCAGAGGCACCTGCGGACCTACTGGAAAAATTATGTGATATTCCCTCGGTGACGCGGAGAAGTGATGGCTTCGATCTGTCGCCGCTGGAGACTATGGATTCTACCAGTTCTCACTTGTCTCTACGCGCTGCTGATCATAATCCTGGTACCGATCTTGTTGGCCAATTCTATTAACAATGGGTTCAACAAACAGGACCAAGGGGCACTCGTCGGCGGTGCCTTCGTGCTCCTCGCGCTGCCCATCGCTTTTTACGAGATCGTCCAGCATATGATATATTACACACAGCCGAAGCTGCAGAAATATATCATAAGGTACGTGAACGATCCCGCATCCAGAAGATACATTAAAAAACTTTGAAGAAATTCAAGGCCAAGCCGTGAATCGATCGACCTTTGACGGGTCACAGGTCAAGACTCACTGATACAGCTAAAAACTTTCACTTCTCTTTATGGAGCTTATAAGAACGTGGCGTAAAAGAATTATTAGCAGTAAAAACATTTCATTTCGTCCATCCTCTTTGCGTATCAGAAAACGATTTATTAAAACAGCCGAAACGATTTAATAGGAATTGATATGATTGCTTGGGTTCAAAGTTCGCTTTCTCAAGCTTGAGTCACCGTCTGTAAACAATTGATAGAAATTAACTACTCGATTCTATTGACAAAATCTCGTTCTTCGTTTCAGAATACTATGGATGGTACCGATTTACGCGGTGAACGCTGTACGTACACCGTAGCTATTCTATTTGTTTCTCGTTTAAACAACGCGTTAACTTTTTGATATCTGTTGTAGTGGCTAGGCCTCGTTTACCCCGAGGGTAGCATATACGTCGACAGTTTAAGGGAATGTTACGAGGCGTATGTAATATACAATTTTATGATGTATCTGTTGGCCTACTTAGACGCCGACCGTCAGCTTGAGCACCGACTCGAGATCTCGCCGCAGGTGCATCACATGTTCCCTCTCTGCTGTTTACCCGATTGGGAGATGGGCAGGGAATTTGTACATATGTGCAAACACGGTATATTGCAATACACTGCTGTCCGGCCTATTACAACTTTGATATCCTTGTAAGTAACGGATTAAAAATAGAGGAAACGACGTTCCAAATGGTGAACGTCATACGTGATTCCAGTATTTGTGAGCTGAATGGAGTGTACGGCGAGGGCGAGTTCCGGAAGGACGTAGCTTTTCCATATGTGATCGCTCTTAATAATTTATCGCAGTTCGTCGCCATGTACTCTCTGGTACTGTTCTACCGTGCCAACGTCGAGGCTTTGAAGCCGATGAAACCCCTCGGGAAATTCTTGTGCATCAAAGCTGTCGTATTCTTCTCATTCTTGTAAGTCGAGAGAATACGATTCGTTCTACGGATTCACGAGATGTTGTCACTTTACAGTCAAGGCGTGATGATCGCGTTGCTGGTGTACTTCGACGTGATATCGAGTATTTTCAACACGAACGACAAAGACGATATTAGGAGTATATCGTCGAGGCTGCAGGATTTCCTTATCTGTATAGAGATGTTCATGGCTGCGGTCGCTCACCACTACAGCTTTTCGTATAAACCTTTTGTAAACTTAGCGCAGACTCAGGCTTGGTGGGACGCGTTCAGGTAAACGAACATCTATTCCCTGTTCTCTCTGTTGATTATACACTTCGATACGTATAGACATGTGTTCGACTTATCCAGGGCCATGTGGGACGTGTCGGACGTCCACAACGACATCAAAGAGCACTTGGGGGTGGTAGGATCCTCGTTGAGTCGTAGGATACGTGGCCGTGGCTCGTATCAGCAGGCCTGGGGAAGCGCGACGGAGCGTACGTCGCTCTTACCAGATACCTCGGCAGCTGCGGCCAGAAGCGCGCCGGCATGTTCCTTTTCTGGTTACCACAGGGCCGAGGACCAAGGCGACAGTCCAGCTGAACTGATCCCAGACGTGCAGGATACCGGTAACTCGGTGAAGGCGTAATATCTTCCCCGACGTCCAAAACCGTGAGCAATCCTCTTCAGGGTTACACTCATAATCGATTATATTTTTGTTTCGACTGTGATCCCGCGAAGGGGACGTTGCAGACGATGAATATTACGTAAGCTCCGTATCGCTAGTATTACGTTTAAGCAGAGAGATAAGAACAAAAGAATCTAGTTTTGCAAGATGAGCAAGGGAGTGTTCTCGCCCGTGTATCGTATGTACAAATTTCTCACATCGTGTCCTGACCGAACGGCACGGTCATTAACTTAACCGGGAAGGGATAGCATCGTGGTGAACGTTTATTAACTAAATAAAGGATTTTATAGGCCATGTTCGAACGCGAGACTTAATGCGTGTCGTTCAACCTCGTCCATTTGAAGAAAAACGCTTTTTTCTCAATTGATTTGCGGCCAATTACGCGCCTCGTGTTACCAAATGATGTATTACCAAATAATTGTACATATATATATATATATATATAATGTTTATACTTAGAACAATATATCGGTACAGTCCTATTTATGAACATGTTGCGATATTTATTGCTGGTTATCGACCCCAAATACGCGGAGTTATGGATCACTGGAAGACTGTCGTAACCCGTTACTTGTCACGTCTCGGTATAGTTTCAAGCGGAATTTGAGAAACGTGGCAGGGACCAGGGTGGTCAATCACTGTGTTTTAATTATTGTTGCTCGTTGTGTCTGTTAACGTGATTGTCCGCAAACGCTTGTTGAGTAGCAGAGTTGAGACGGAACATTCCTGCCAAATGTGTACACAGTTCTCTAATTTTGTATCGATGGCGTTGGTTTTAGGCTCGCATATTTGAAAAAGGAAATACTCAAGTATACATTACATAGGAAAATTTCTATCGCCGACCGAGGTGGTCGAGGGAATTATAAAATATGTGGTGGCGTTGACGCGTTTACGCTAGCATATCAAGTTTCCATAGATCGATTTACCGGAGGATAATATCAATTTACTGACCTTCTATAAAGATGTGTGAACTTGAATGCTTTATCGAACGTTCGGACCAAAGAGTAGGATATATTTTGTCTGGAAGTTAGTTCAGATGAGCGTAGTTTCCCGGTTGACCTACAGATCATCGATTTCATCGTCAATTAATTCCCGTGGAGGAAATGATATTTTTTAATACGTTTCTCTACCGTCTAACTGATCTTTGTGATACATTTGAAACCGCCATTAATTGTCATTGAACGTGGACAGGGATTGAAACCTTTTTTAGAAAAAAGAAACAAACACACGAGAGGAAATTTTAGATGTGTCTAGTCGTGTATTTTAATAATCCTCAGCCATTTTTGTACAAATTTCGAATCCCGAGCGAGTACTTAAACGAACGTTTCGATTTTCGGAAGAGCAGAATAAATTAAGGCCATCCAGAAACAATCATACGCGTAAATTAAGGAGAAATGTTCGTAACTTTCTTAACACTTTTTCTTAGATTTAAGCAGAGAATCTCGAAATAACTGTTGAGACTCTCGCCAACCCAAAAAAATACGAATAAAGATACGAAAGGTATTCTCGTTTTCACTCTTTCTTTATTCCATGTTCCTACCCATACAAAACGTATGCGCGCTTTCATTCGTTCTGTATGCAAAGATGAGATGTATATACAAAATGTAATGTGCGACATTCTCCCTAAATCGCGTTTTTTATATCTACACTCCCTGAACGTCGTTACTCGATACAATTAATTCAATTAGTTGTTGGTACAATCGATGCTAGCTGCTGAAAGAAAATTTGCTGAACGTGAAATGAAAATAGTGATCGCTCATTATTACAGTCATTCTGTTCGTGTACGTTTTCGAAAATTTAAGTTATTTTTTATCGATGCTGGGACGATCGACAGATCGAAGAAGTTCGCCAAGCAGTGGATTATATGAAAGTGACTAAAATTTCACGTGTCTCGATCATTGTGAGTCGTTCAGTTTCCATTATCCATAAAAACTGACTAGTAGCTCGATTAACGAAGAGAAAAAATAAATTAATACCTAGACATCCGCGCAGTCAGCCACCAGGGCCTGTAATCGTGTATCACATACCATCACACCATCGGTTTCCATGGTTCAACTAGAATCTTAGCCCAGCTTCTTCATTTCTCTTTGTTCAATGCTTGAATGAATTCTTCCAGTTTCTCCTGGATTTGCCTGACGCGTTCTGCAATCGAAAATGAAAAACTCGTGATCAGCATAATCTATTTAATCATTATTATTACGAGCGACTTACTCAATTCCTCGGCTAAGGTGACGCGTCGACCGGTCAACAGCTGCTGTTTAACTTGAGTGTCTTGGCTATAATCTTCGAGTACTTCTTTTATCTCTTTATCTAGTCTGCGGGCTTCGCGGTTCATTATTTGCTGGCGGAGCGCGTTCGCGGTAACTTTCAGCATCTGCTGAATCCTCCAAAACAGCACCACGTCGTTACATTCCATCTGTAAATTTAACATCGTTTTCAATTACGATTCCTGATAGAATTGTCTTAACATCTAAAAACACGAAGTCCAGACGTATGCCTCTGCTTACTTCAGTCTCATGTCCCGTGTGGTATAGATAATATCCTTTCTTACAGTCGTAAGCTCTGGCCATGCTCTGCTGCAGGAAGAATCTTCTATAAACCGGATGCCACGTTTCCCGAATGAACTCGTTATCTATTTCTAAACCATTTCTCTGTAAGTTCTTCCTCACTGCCGTCAGTTCGTCCTGCGTCAGGGTAGGCGCATGTTTCTGCGAGCAAACATTAAACAATACTGAATTTTCCCAAATTCCTTCAGTTTTACTCTCGCGACGAATGTTCTTTGTACCTTGTCTGCATAAAGGATATTATCTAATTCATGTTTCACTGCTGTGCGTTTCTGTTGGTCCTCGGTCTGCCTCTGCCAGTACAACCACCGTTCCTTGCGACCAGGCCCCAACATGTCCCGCAAGATTTGCTCCGTTCCTTGTAACTTATCTTTCACAGAAGTTTCCAAAAAACGAACTGCCTGATCCCAGTCCCGTTTATCGTTCACGCTCCTGTCCTCGAGAGTGTTTAATTGAATAACGCGCAACATCTCCGAGGCCTAAAACGATTTTTATTTAATCCAGGCAATCGAGATGGGACTAGAATATTTTTAATTACTTTCTCCTCCCAGGAATGCCTCCTCATGGCTTCGTTGACCACTGCATTTTTTAAATTATCAAAAATGTCGTCGTGATCCGGACTGAGCCTCGCCTGGTTCATGAAATTGTGAAATTCTTGTTGCAAGCACTCCCAACCGCTCTCGACGCTTTTGGCCGGCAGTTGCTGCTCTGCCCATTGGCGAAGTTTTATATCGACTGTAGTATTAAACGTGCCTGTACAAAATTATCATAAGTGCTCGCTCGTTCTCATTTTGTTATATCGTGAAACGCACCTGGATTCCCACTTTGCGCCGCGGGCAAATAAATATTCTCGAACACGTGCATGCTGACTTTGTCCCAGATGCGAAGCATCAACACCTCTTCCCAGTGTCTAGGCGAGACTTGGGAAAGATTCACAATTTCGTCTAAAATCTCGCCCCTTGCTCTCTCGAACAGCTCGTCCCTGTCCAATTCCCTGAGTCTACGCAAAGTATACGGACTTCTTTAATTGAATCAAAACCATATTTGATTTAACACGAAATTGATTTCGATTTTTACCGTGGGAAGTTATTCTTCCACTCGGTTTCAAGATTGAACCTAGTAGCCTTGAAGGCATCCGCTTGTTGCTCCACGGTCTCGCGAACCATTTTCCAAAAGCATTCGGCAACCGCGAGGCTCAAGTTCCTCGTCGTAACTTGACCAGACATGACCAAACCATCTCTGCTAAAAAACAAATTTATCTTCTATCTCACTTCAGTTCATATACATGTGAATACATGTATTCATCTTTCATACTTGAAGAGTTTCGAGTTTCTAAAGAACTTTTCTTCATAGCTCTTAATGGTCTGTATGCTGTCGTCTTGTTTGCCACGACCAGTGACCACCGCGAAGTAACCCATCGCTTTCATTGGGAACAATTTACCCGAAAGTATCTTGCGGACGCGTTCGGGGTCGGCCAGATTCTCTTCTGCTAAATCTACCTATCGATATCAGAAACACTCTTCAACAAATTTGAATCGACATCAGTGCTTCATGTTTAAACGATAAAATAAATTTCTCTATGCATAAAGATCAGTTCATTCACGACGAACATTATGCACCTTAGTTAAAACGAAGATGGTTCGTTTGCCACTGGGATCCATTTGAGCAACGAGATCTGTCACGTTACTCCTCTCAGCATCCACGGACCCATCTTGGATGCACAAAATGATCGCGTTAGGGTTGCTCATGTACTGTTGGGTCATCTGTCGAATAGCATCTCGCGTGTCTTCAGCCATGTCGACCGTAACTGTCTGTAAACGTTTCGTAAATTGAACTCGTTTTTCAAGAACGATCGTTCGAGCCAGTCTAGGAATCACTGCTTACGCTAATTATACCAGGCAAGTCAACGAGAACCATACGCTGTAGCCCTGGCCCTTTAACAGTCATCGAGATCACGTCTTGGCTAACAGTTTTCCCGTTCTTAACGCTGTTCTTCATACGCAATTCAACCTCGCGTCTCAGCTCGGCTAATTCCGACTCTTTCGTTAAATCGAACTCCCTCGAACTGTCTTTGAACTGAGCTATGTGATACGGGCCTTCGCTCAAGGTCACTTTTACCGGAGCCCTTGTCATCATCTCGCCACCACCTCTGGAATATTATTTTCGAAGTCAACTGCAATTCTTAATAAAACTGCTTGTGATTTGTTTTCTGTAGTTTCTGAATTACCGAGGAAATATTCTTGCTTGAGCAATCATCTCCAACACAGACGTTTTACCAGAACTTTGATCACCGACCACCACCACCCTTGGCAAGTGGTCGGCTGTGGAATAGGCACTGTCGTAATCGCTAAGTTCGTCTAGAACGTCACTGTACATATCGATCAACGATTTCTACGAAATTAATATTCAATTAAAATCTTGTCCGATGAAGTAAATCCATGGTCTAATAAATCAGACTCAATTACTTTAATCTTTTTAGTGCTCATTTTCTGATTTCCCCGTAACAGCATCTGCTTTCGTAGTTCTTTGTTCTCCCTCTCCAGCCTCTCCAACTCCCGTTGGTACCTCAACTGAATTTGCATCACCTCCTCCTGCATGGCGTTCATCCTCTGCTGCGACTTTTCTTTGAACGAAATCACGTTCCGTGTGTAATTACAAGTCTCGCAAACGAAGAACGAGCGACACTAACATGTACATACGAGCTTTTTTACGTTCCTCTTCAACGTTATCGTCAACCAACGGCCGTGCAAACGCCACGGTATTGTTCGATACTTGTTCCTTCGCTTCTGCACCGAAGATTCAAGCATTTTATTGGATTTCGCGATTGTACTTGCGTACGGTTAAAATGATATGACGATGATAATTAATTATTGACCGGTGACGTTGCAGAATGCGAGCGTGGTATGAAAAAAAAAGATGCAAAACTAAAGGGTCTGTCCCATTCAGTATTCAATTTTCAATCATGGATACAATTTTGTCCATTGAATTTAAATGCATACGACCGACGTTGCTTGAAAATGATATGTACGAAAAGAAATGCTGAATGGACAGACGATTAGATGCGAATAATCCCGAATTTTACACACCTGAATAAAGTTGGGATACTATTGCTGAGATTGCGTCAATTATACCTGAACAGAACAGACCATAATAAAACATTTCTAACTGAACATTAGATCGAGCGTTAGATTAAGCATACATACGCATAAGAATGATTTTTTTAGGAAACGGGATAGAAAGCAGGGATATGTTAATTCACACAAGCGTACAGTCATTTCGTTTATACGAAACATTCATCGTCACACAAATTCGACGAACAAATCGAGGTATGTAAAATATAAAAGTGAGATCGATGTAGCGGGGGATGATTAAATAAGCTGGGTAGGAAAACGTCAGGCAAATTATAACAACGACTAACGGGAGAATCGCAGGGACGCATGCGAAACAAAAATAAATAAAAAAACGCCTTCCGACTCACGATTCGAAGAACGATTCGTACCAGGTTCGTTCTGTCTCACTTCAGCAGCTCTGATGGCATCGTCCAGCCTTTGATTAAACCATTCCCTGTATTCCTTATACTTAGTCTCCCCGAGCTGCTTTATACGTGGATCTGCCCATTTTTCATTCCTCTAATTCCTTTTGCCTCACGTTTTCATGTACTTAAATTGCTACTTATTTAAACACTCACCAAGTTCCATTTTATCTGCGACGGTGTCTTTAACAGACAAAAGGGAGTCACGTATGTTCGCCCATTTCTGTTCGTTCGGTAATACGTTGTCCAGCCAGCTCATGTCTGGCATCACATCTTTCCATTGTTCATATTTCTTTAAGGAAAGGTTTCGTTTATAAATATTGTTTAATTATTTGTGTGTTTACTTGTGGCAAGTACCTTCTGCAGTGTGACACCGCTACCGACAGCCCCTCCCAACAAGAGGTACCGTACTTTCAGGGCTCCTCTTAAAATCCTCCCAATGAACATCGCGTACGCTCTATTAGGATTGCCGTAGTAACGTATATGAGGAGACGATAGCAAAGGCCGGTAGACCTTGTTCATTCTGCCAGACGTTAAGTTCCTGGCACTAAACAGAGGCATAGAGTATCGTGACGTCTTCGAGACGAGCACGATCCTGTCTCTGGAAGAAAAACATGTTTGACTGTATCAAACATAATATCTTTACTATTTGTCTCCTGGGGATGAAGGGCTAGCTTCAAAATTAAAGAAAGATCGATGTTATTTCATAAAATATATCGGAACGTGGAAAATAGATCCTAACCTGAGCGACGTAGAACTTCGTATTCAAATAACGAAAGTACGAAATGAGATACGAGGAAAGTAGTTTAATTCTGAGGAATGAAATTACTTCGTACGTATTTCGAGTTGCTTACCCTATTTTGCTACAAAGAATTTGCTTCATCTCAAGGGACACTGCCTGAACAGCGGGCTCCGTAACAACGAATTGATTAAAGCTTTCTCTTCTGCCTGGATATATATTATATATCAAATGATCGGTTGTAAAAAATCGTCTAAAATTCAATGGGACGCGACGCGTCTGTTAGAAATTCATTATTCCGCACGTCCGCCTAGTCTGAATGATGCACACAGGCATTGCAGAAAGTGGTTACGGGAGTACGTCGCTGCAGTCAAGAATACCTAGAATATACATGGTGAAATGAGGCAGCAGATGATCGACACGAAAACTACTCCTCACTCTTCGGGAGAGGCTGATGAATGCCTGTTTGAGTATCTACACGCTGAGATGGTTAATTACACCCTAAGTAAATCGAGTAATAACAAGGTAACTATGTAGACGTACGTTGAATCGCGTAATTTGTATCCTAACCCTACATTTTCGACCGCCTCGTAACTTTATATACACACTTTGTTAAATCGAACGCAAAATTAGTGTCTATGATATAAAATCGTCATTATTTGCGGTAATTGTTAATTAATAAAGGAGGGGGAAGAGGAATTGTCGAGGCTGGAGTGGATGGGGTTCAGCGTCGGCTATAGAATAATCGAGCGATTGACGCGGGAATGGAATCGGTTCAAAGACGAACTGGACATGATCAAGTTCATCTGCACCGATTTCTGGGCCAGCCTTTATCACAAACAGATCGACAACCTGAGGACGAATCATCACGGCGTTTATGTATTACAAGATAACTCGTTCAGGTTGCTCGAAAAAGTAGGTACGAACAGTAATAAACAATATCTTCAAGAAAGCCCGCGACTGTTAGCGTTCACTTGTGGACTTCTAAGAGGAAGTTTAGCAAATCTTGGTATTATTAGTACTGTCAATGCAGAGATTTCTACATTGCCAAGTTGTAAGTTTCATGTACAGGTACAACGGATTTAAAACTGACAAATATAATTATGACGTTTTATGTACTACAAGAAGGTAAAGTTTCTTTTCCTGTAAATAGAGCGTAAATGATATTCTTTTGGGGAAGAATAATAGTTACTCAGATAAATGCCACTCCCATATTTAATTTATCAGTATGGAATGTTAATACATTTGATATA